CATATGACTGGACATTTTTCGGACCCAGCGCAGTGCGGCTCGGTGGGGGTGTCAATGATACTCAACGAAGCCTGTATAGGTCACCTTGTGAAGACCTGTGGATTTTTGTAACCAAAGTGGCTCACTGTGCCATGTTGCACTTTTCAAGAGTTTACAGGTCCCACCAAAATGAGACCTGGCAGCTGACATGGACTAGCGAAAGGAATTAGCAAGTGCGCAAAATGTCCCTCCCAAGCCCAACAGCATCCTACAATCCATATCTCGGTGTCAGAAAGGAGGGCCGACCGACTTGTGGTTAGTAGTGAGCGCGACAGCGGCTGTGCATCTGTGGACCGCGGTTCAGGACACAGGCCTGCACAGCATCCCGTCGAGGCACTCAGGATGAAAACCGTGGGTATGCCTAACATAAGATAAGGCTATTATCAGAACTGACTGTAGATGACAACGTAGGTGTGAGTGAAACAATTATTTGATCCACAGCTTTTACGCCGACATCTGTCGTGACGTCTTTGGTGAGAACTACGACATCCAATATATAGAGAAGGCTGTTCAATCCACGATAGAACGTTATGGTGGAGCCGACGGATACAAGGTGAGCATCGGTACAGAAGTTCGACGCTTTGACTTGTAGTTGATTCATAGATACAAAAAGTAATAGCTGCAAATTGCCATATTTAGAGCGAGTCTGGGCCAGGACATCCACGTTGCGGTGGGGTGGCTTTGCGAAAACGGCATTCTGGGCGCTTTTACATCTATTCGATCTCATGTGAAAGTACAACCGTATATCTCTTCTGTTAGATAGATAGGAGAAGATACCGTGCTACTTCCGGCGAGTGGCCACAACGTGAACCCCACAGTCATGGTCAGGACAGGTGGGGATCTCGGCATTGCGCTATTTCTAGTCACTGCAGCTCTTATGGTGGCTAAGAGCGCCGCACGGCGAAGTATATGATCATCAATATACAGAGCAACACAGCTCAAAGCTTCTGGTTTGACTACTATGAATTCTCAAGCAATTCCTTACCAGTTTGATCAACTCCAAGAATAAGTGCACGGCGACTCAAGAAGAAAGTGTGTCAGTGGTCACAATCGGTGCCACTGCATCGCACGGCGGATAACTCGTCCTCGCGCGCTTGAGATTCATTTTGCCGCGTGCGATGAGTATGGGTTCCCGGATGTGCAGCATTATCTAACAGACGCGGCATCGCGAGAGACGCTGGGAATTTCCTATATAGACACAGGCATTGAGGGAGCTTGAATGGGTCAATCCGCTTGCAGCGCTACTTTATCGCACAATGACTGGGAAGTGCTCCACAACCAGGGCTAAGTATGCGGTTGCGCGTGCGTGCCCCATAGCGCCTCCTGGCTCATGACGTGAGCTAGGAGGCGCCATGCGGCGCTTCTTCTGAGCGATTTTGTCCAAATAATTGTGACCCCTTCGAATACTGGTAGACGAATATTTAGAAAATCACAAGTATGAAATGTCTATCAGGGCACGAACGTTCGTAATTCCTAATGGTTGCGCGCGTCGAGTCCGATGAGTTTATTGTAGGCAAAGCACAACGAAGGATCCTTCAGTAGTCCCGTATCGTGTTAAGGGTTAGTTTCGCTAGTTCACAGTGTTATACGGAATGACCACTATATTCTGGGTTATCACGGAAACAGAGGCATTAGCATAGCGTTTGCCGTGAAATGATAAGCAGATACAAAATTGCCCGTCGTAGGGTGTAGATGGCGGTCCGTGTTTCCTCGCGGAATAGCCGCTGCGTGTATAGAGGCTCGACTTATGCACACTGCTGGCATGTTTTGGCCATCATTTCGTCGCTCGTCTCCTTCCATCAAACGTAGTGAACCCACACCAAACCAGCACCTGCGAAAGCCACCTGCTACTGACACCTCTGTTTCGTTTCCATTCCGAACGATGCTGCGCCGCTAATTGGCAATTCTGCCTGACCATAAGCTCTTGAGCCGGCTTCGAGTCGCCATAGTCCTCCATGACAGAGATCGCCGCCAGTTTGTCCTCAAGATGTACTAATGTCGTGTCCTCAATGCCTGCTTTACGAGTTTCATCTGAGGCTGTCAGCGAACGAAACACATCAAATATTGTGCCGCTAATGGACCACATAGTTGAAGGCAAGTGACACAATAAGTTGACAATGCGTATAAAGTTGATCTGCCTTGTACGAAAGTATACTCCGTCTTTAGCAGGCCCTGGGCTTTTTCCAACCAAAACACTGCTAAACCAAGGTACCACATACCGACCCTTACGTTCGCTGGGGTTTGTGGCAAGAGAATCAGGAATTCGCCGCGCCAGTGGGCGTCGCGTACGACTTCGCGCCCATTAATGACGATGATTTTGGGTGGTGTTAGTCGGGAATAGACAATTCATGACCAAAAATAGTCATAAGCGTCTACCATGTCCTTGCCTACATGAAATATGGTGCTCCTATAGAAAGGGTAGTGCCAATTAAGGAAACGTCGTGCTCATTGCCGCGCGCGACGAAGCGGCAACTTACGATCCTCTTGCCCGTCTCCCCGCCCACTGCAACCTCCCGCGCATAGGCCGGTCAGTCACACTGATGCTTCTACTCCAATCACTCCATTTATGAAGTATAACCAAAATGAAGAGTCACTACTTGGATGCATGAATACAAATATGCAGCCGTATCCATCGTGGTTATTAGCACGATGTCAACGGGAAACCCGTCCAAAAATGCTCGTCCCAATGCCGTGCAGAACGAAGACTTTGTCGCAGAGTTTTGGCCGTTCAGCTTCACTTTTTCCTCATTTTCCCCCACTATATAGCACACCCTGCCACAATTTTGGAGCAAGTACCAACTTATTGCGCTTTAGGCCTTCTAAGGGATGGAAGTTGTGGAGGATAGGGATCTAACCCAGGCTTTTACTGGATAGTGCGTGGATGATAGCGGCTCCATTCGCCACAATCCTAAAACCACAGGACTACAACTCATGTCAGTAGAAAGTATAAAATCATTCATGCAAGAACTGAATTCAGGTGGTACTCATTGCGAAGATATGTTTCCCCCTCTGAGAGGGCCAGTACGTGAAGAGCTTCAAGTGCTTTATAAGCTCATCTCTCAAAATATTGACAACTGGATTTCAAATATTCCTAGTCCGTTCCATATTCCCCATACTGGTGAGTATGACCAATCAATAATAGGCTTAATTCTAGTCTCATTACTATGAATGGCGTTTTTTCCAAAGAATACTCTCCAGAGAACAAAATGCCGGAAAAGCCATGGACGAGACCTGAGATAATGCATCCCATCGAACGACTGAAGAATCCTTTCAAACCTGCACGACGACAGGATGCGTTACGGGTAAACATCGCACTCTTCATAGGAATCTTGATATTTTTGACTAGATAGCCACTCTGAAGTATACAGCGCTTTAGATGATCACAACAGTCTTTATAGTTACTTCACAGGAACAAAAATCAAAATTCCAGGCTTTCATCACTCCTAAGTCTCGTAAACGCAATGCACGCTACAAAATACACCTGGGAAGGCCTCAATCCGGACTCCTTCCGGAACCAGAAATGGTTAGCACTATGAAAGTCACACTCTATCTCTTCATTCTGAGCAGCACATGGTATTTACTACCCTTCATGCAAAGACTTACGTACTTCACATCTCGAAAATGAAGTGGGCGTGGCTTTCAGTGCATTATTGGTTTGAGACAATTGCAATCATGTGTTTTGCCCAAGAATAGTATGACAGCTGTTTCGAGTAGAAATATCACGCGAAAAGGCACCCTACGCCATCTCCAAGTGTCCTGTGCGGCCACGCCCACTCCATCTCTGTTATATAGAGTATGTATTGGTGGTAGGCTGTACCATTACTATGTAGAACAACTATCACAAGAACAACTTCTTGATTCGCCTTCCTATTATAAAATCCCACTGATACGAATAAGCGGTCCGACTCGTTTTTGTGCAACGTCGAGAATCTTTTTACTTTCTGAGGGTGAAATTGAGGAGTCAGAAGGGGAGGTAAGAAAGCACCAAGTCTGCTGAGTAAGCTAGAGGTTAAGCTTCCCTGAACAATTTCCCTATAGGCGCGGTCCGTGACAGGAATGTAGGTACAATACCCACCCTAAAAGTTCGAAAAAAAAACGAAAAAAACGCCAATTCGATCATGGAGAGTTACTAAGAAAATGAACATAATCAGTGCCAAATCAGAGGATTTTGAAATTCAAAGCACAAAATTTTTGGAATTTTCATGAAAATTCAACTTTGAAATACCAGAAACATGGAACGGCGTGTTCAGGGATCTTCTGCGAAATAGTGAATAAAGGAGACCACGTTAATGGATGAGCTTATTAAGACTGATCAATACAGTGCCCTGACACCTCGTGGAACTACTTGGGAGGTCGATTGACTCGCTGACAGGGCAGATAGCCGGGGAAAACTACGAAAGGTCATAGAAAGTTCATGAGGTGATTTTCATATGAATAGATAGCATTTTTCATGTGGATTCAAATGGTGTAACTTTGATTGGGATTTTCTTACTTTGAAAAACACGTAAATTTTGCTCTGAAATAAAGTCTTGAAGTTGGCTCCCGATAACAGACAACCAGTCTAAAATATGCCACTGTTTTCCACCAAGTTATTGGGAAGCACAAGGCGTTCTGTACCAAGCTTTTTTGTGGTACTTATAGGACCACTAAGAGCACTGGAAACTCTGTCTGAAACGCTGAAAATCGAGCATTATCCCCAGTATCGCACGAAGAACTCACTTCAACTAGCTGAAAAATCCCTTCTTTTGACTTCATTCTTGAGTTTCGTGAATGTTGGGGTAAACAGGGTTCCATACATTAGACAAGTGGTACTCGTGTGGTCAGAACTGAACCTATGCTCAAGATTTTTTGAACTGAAAAGGCTGTATTGTCTGAAAATGACATCGAGCGGATACTCTCTATTTTCGGAAAAATTGGTACCGTAATGATCAGCATTACTTGAGAAACACAGTCACCTGATTTAAAAGATTTTGCATGCGATATAGTATATGATCTTGCCCCCTGGTTACAATTATAGCGAGACTCGCTCGCTAACGAGTGCCCTCAGGTACTTCGATAGGAAGCAGAGTTCAATTTTCGACTTTTTCAGTTTTTTAGGATGCCAGCTTATAGAACTCGACGAGCTGAGTCTAACAGTATAGGTTTCTATATGAGAAAAGTTTACACAAACTGAGTTATAGCAAAAAAAAAACGAAAAAAAAACGCGAATTGGCGTTTTTTTCGTTTTTTTTTTTCGAACTTTTAGGGTGGGTATTGTAGTGGTGCTGGAACGTGGAAGAGAGGTTGACAAGGGACTAGCCTTTCACTTGATTGCACTTTTGTGGAGCTGATAAGCAGTTGGAGACTGATGCAAACAATGCGAGGGATACTTTGAGGGTCAAGCGTGAGCGTTATGATGCAAGATCTCCAATGAATCCCCTTAGGAGGGGGCGGGGTAAGTGTATCATTATGCGGAAGTCCATTTAATAGTCCATATGTGATATAGTGGAATTTGGAAAATTATAGCAAATAGGATTCAATGTAGATGTAATTATGTTCGCAGCAAAAAAGGTGGGGGGTGGCTATCTGGAGCGAGGCTCGGTAGTGGATCCGTGGATGGCACCAAAATACCAGCTACACCTCAATTTATACCTGATTTTTCCTGTTTCTCTTAACTCTTCTCCTTTTCTAATGTACATTCTCATACTGTCGCCGTCGCCGAGTGTGAATGTATCTACAGTTGATTCAAATATGGCGGATCCGCTCAAACCCAGTAAATCCAATTTTTAGCCAACAAGCATACCATTCGGTTATGAAGAAGGATTTTTCATACAACCCGTGGATCACTTCGACAATCAAAATGTGAACACATTTGATCAGGTATGACGCCATTATCACATGAACAAAATCAACAGTGATATTTCTATTCACTCAAGTGGAAGGAGTAGTAAGTTATCGTGTTCCCATGCAGATGAGTGGACACATCGTATTTCAACGCTCATATAATATTGGGTTGGCACATAAGTAATGGCGTTTTTTTCAATTGAAAATTTTTTCCAAAAAAGTGAAACATTTGCAAGCAATCTTGATATCATCTGATAGGAAACTTCTCGTAGTATAAGAATATCAAAAGCTTCGGTTGAGGGAATAATTTTTGTGAATTTTTTAGTCGTTGAAGTTGAAAGTGAAGTCGGCGAAAATTAGCACCTTCGACAACTGCCTCTATTTACGTCTACTCGAAGTGCTAAAATCGCTTAAGCTGCTCCATACATTTGGAAAAGGTTGAGGTAGAAGTTCCAGCAAGGGAATCTCAATAGGACGCTTTGGAACTAATTTCAAGAATTTCAAAGTTGGCACTTTGCACCTGCGCGATGGCAGCTCACGTCTGTTCCACCTGAAATTTATGCTAATAGTTGAATGCTTTCGCTGATATGTTTTGCATGTTCTGATAGCAAATTTCCGTGCTCTATAACACTGCAATGGAAATCTGTTCTCCAGAGCTGTTTACTTTCTGTTAATTTCAGGTTATCATTACGGAACGTGAGGTCGATGAGAATTAGCGTTCCCGATTTCCACGAATTTTATGCTAATAGTTGAATGTTTCGCTAATGTGTTTTGTATGCTCTGATAGCAAATTTTGTGCTCTATAACAGTGCGGTGCAGATATTTTGAAAGTCCGTTTGATTTCCTCGTTTTTCAGATTAGATTCCTTCTTCGAGTCGCGGCCACAGGATTTTTACCGAGAAGGCATTGAACAGCTGGCTGATCGGTTTGAGGAGGGCGTAAGAAGCAAAGGGAAATATATCATTGACTAGTTTATTGTAAATATTTATATGTTTCTATAGTGTTCTAAAAGTGTGTTGAAATTTACTAAGGAAACAAAAAAATCGTGAGGTATTGGTCGACCGGATGTCTGCAAGGTCAACGTTGTCGGTTGTGCTTTTTTCCAGAATCAATTGTGAGCCGTCCTAATACTAATCTGTTACTCTATGCCTTACTCAAACCATGGCGATTCTATTGAGCTGCTCTAGGAGCTTTGAAGCTTCCGTGGACAGCGGTAGGGAGAGGAAGTCGGGAACGCTAATTCTCATCGACCTCACGTTCCGTAATGATAACCTGAAATTAACAGAAAGTAAACAGCTCTGGAGAACAGATTTCCATTGCAGTGTTATAGAGCACGAAATTTGCTATCAGAACATGCAAAACATATCAGCGAAACATTCAACTATTAGCATAAAATTTCAGGTGGAACAGACGTGAGCCTGCCCAATATCGGCGAAAGGTTGCCAACTTTGAAATTCTTGAAATTAGTTCCAAAGCGTCCTATTGAGATTCCCTTGCTGGAACTTCTAGCCTCAACCTTTTCCAAATGTATGGAGCAGCTTAAGCGATTTTAGCACTTCGAGTAGACGTAAATAGAGGCAGTTGTCGAAGGTGCTAATTTTCGCCGACTTCACTTTCAACTTCAACGACTAAAAAATTCACAAAAATTATTCCCTCAACCGAAGCTGTTTTGATATTCTTATACTACGAGAAGTTTCCTATCAGATGATATCAAGCTTGCTTGCAAAACATTTCACTTTTGGAACAAAATTTTCAATTGAAAAAACGCCATTACTTATGTGCCAACCCAATAGTTAGATGGTCAACCATTGAGCGTTCTCCCTCCCTACTGCCTTCGAAGCAAAAGCATTGACTGCTCCTTTCACAGAATCGGCATGGAGTGTGTCTTCAAAAGCAGTTGGCACGAATACATCTCTAGACGAGTAGGACTAATACGCCTGGCAGGACGGAATTTTGCGCCCCTGAAGAGCGCGTATCACACTTCGCGATCGCGCGAATCGGATCGCAGGCGATTCGGATTCGCGCGATTTCGGATCGCGCGATGATCGCGCGATCGGATCGCGCGATTGGATCGCGCGATCCGATCGCGCTACTGAGGGTGAAATTACTGCGGGAGGGGGTCATGTTCGTTCATGTTCAACTCAACTCAACAAACAACAACAACAAAGTTCTGGGAAGGGAGCGTACTAATATCACCATTTCTCACATCACAATGCTCACAATGCTGTATCCTGCCTCCAATAGGCAGTTCCAAAAACGATATAAGTAATTCGACCTTTTTTGATGTCTTTTATTCCGTGTTCATATTCGCAATACTGACGATTTGCAGAAACCGTCGAAAGGAAAGGTTGTGTATAGACCTGGAGGATGGCAGAACAAACAAAGCAAACAATGTGACAAAAGTAAAGTGAATATCTGGAGGACTGGCAAAATCGGGGGAAGGGAGAGAAACAAACAATCATCCCCGGCTTGTTAAAAGTTTGCGTGTCTTACTTGTTTGGAACAAGATTTCAACACTGCCCGCTTAGAACGTAGCTCAAATGCAGAAATTCAGTATAAGATAATAGGCATGTATATTTAGTACTATTTTACATATTAAATAATAAATAACTCAAAGATATTTCGAAACTTTCTTTAAAATTAGGAGGGCGTTATGTACACAAAGAGAGAAAGAAGGAAAAGAGAGAGAGCAGGATCAATAAACATATACGCACATAACCCCCTCCCGCAGTAATTTCACTCCTCGCGATCCAGGATCGCGCGATCGGAAGTCGCGCGATCGCGGATCGCGCGCGAATCCAAGTCGCGCGATCGCGAATCGCGCGATTCCAAATCGCGGTCCGATCGCGCGATTCCGAATCGCTGGCGATCGAATCGCCGCGATCGAAGCGATCCGGATCGCGCGATCGCGGAAGTCTGAACGCGCTCTAAGGAATGCGCTACATAGCACGCATTATAAGGTCATACGATGGCAGCAACGTACTGATCGAGCCCGAAGCCCACCAGGCTCGCAATAGGACAAACCGCGTCAGAAATGAACGACCGTGACCTGGTGCTTTCATTTCGCGAGGTAAAATATGAAGTGAACGGATTATATAAAGCGCTGTGGGGCTACATAGCTATATGGGTACTTACATGCAGCCATATCCATCGTTGCGATTATTGGCAAGATGCCCACGGAAAACTCGTCCGAAAATGCTTCTCGAGGCATTAAGAACGAAATCTTCCATTCGCAAGTTCTCGACCGTTTATTTCGTTTTTTTTTCTCGCATTTTTCCTCACTATATAGCACCCCGCTAGCATTTTAGACCGAGTACAAAATTTAATCGTACCTATGCCATTGAGTATGTCTTTCAGGCTCAACTCCGAAATTCGCCTTAACTTAGAAGAACTCCAATGTCAAGGTCAAAAGCAAAACAGCACATCTCACACTCCGCGGATCGTTCCCCCCCCCTCCGTTTCCGAGAAGATTAGATGGGCAGGTGTACGAGGGTAATACTTTCGGCACCCTAGAGGGCGCGAAAATGAGGATGAATCCCAGGTGCTGTTGGGACTCTGCTGCGCTATACTCATGGTAAAACCTTTGCGGCGAAATCAATATCGAGCAGCAAAACACGTACTCAGCGGTAGAGAACAACAAGAAGTGAGGAGGCACAGACAAGCAGCGCGTTTAGCTATGGTCAAGCGTGCGCCTGGAAGTGCGGGAGCGAGCGGAGTTCCAAACATTGTCCAAGTGACACAATCCTCCATCCTCGTGCCCGTGCACTTTTCAGCAGAAAGAGTGGCACGCCACTGCAACTCCGGACTCGCTTATTTTGCGCATAGAAAGAACCGTAGTAGCAGATATCACCACTAATAATGCACTGGATGTGTACCGTCGATCCCAAAAAGAAAACTGCCATAAAAGATCATATAGGACTGTTTTTTTATTCTTTGAGCGAAAAGACCATACAGGACGGCATAAACAAATCAAGTCAAGAACTAAAGTGAAAGTACAGAAGAAGTTCAACAACAAATTTAAACTTCACGTATCGCAGAAATTCTACAAAAATAGACAATGGGCCAAAGAAGGCGGTCCAATCTTCCTGAAGATTGGCGGCGAATCACCGGCATCACCTGCGTGGGTTCTCAACGAAAACCTCACCTATTTGACATGGGCGAAAAAGTTTGGAGCAACAGTCTACATGTTAGAACATCGATATTATGGCCAGAGCAAAATTACAAAGTATGAATACTTCCAACAGTTTATTTTTTTACAATTCTGACTGCTACCCTATTTTCTGGGATTTGTATAAGGCGCACCCTGCGTAGGGCGCACTTTCGAATGAGATGAGTTTGGAAACCAGTTGGATCGTTAAAATATGTCAAGAAGACTGGAAGAGCAGCTGTGTTCAGGAACTTTCCACGAGTGCTGCCACGTAAATCTCTGCGAGTATGCTGATAAAGGCGCCTTATATCCCAGAAAATAGAGTACTAACAAGGAGAGGGGGTTCTTTCAACTTGTGGAGATTATTTTGGAAACGGTTTGCAGCATGCTGCAGAAACATGCCTGGGCAGCGTTAGGAGGGGCAGGATGAGCCTACCCTGGCTGCCTTTCCTCGCCAATAGTGGGTCGGTTGGGGACTGATGCAGGAAGAAAACCAGTGGTGAAAACGCCCGGGGTGGCCTCAGGCTATGCCCTTTGACACCGCCCCGACTCATTACGACGATATCAACTGAACGTGCGAGTCCACAGAAAAGTAGTTCGGTTTGGCTGCGCTCTTCCAGAAGTGTCAAAAAAAGGTGGACAATAGCCTGATGTTTCAAATCCCAGAGGTGGTGAAATTTTGCACCTCCGTTACTTTTATTTTCTCGTGTTCACATGAGCACGAATCTTTGTCGTAACAAAAAAGGGCACAAAAACACCTCTTCCGTCCAAATACATAAACACTTTCTATTGCCGAATTTGTCTTGTACTCGCAGAGCATTCTTTTTGTCATGAAAAATAAGCAGAAAAAAACAAACTGCACCTTCACACTGCCCAAATGTTCCTCTACAGCAAGTGACAAACCGTTCCGAAAATGGGCACACGACCTGGAAGATTCCCCTCCTCCCAAGAAATTGCCTGCTGCGAGCATCGTACACACGCCACATATTCAGGGAGCCAACTAGCACTGGATGGTATACAGACTATCTCAGTTCCATGCAAATGCTCTTCGATGTGGCCAACTTTATAAGAAACGTCAATGCCCAAATGGGATCGGATAAGCCCCCTAAGTGGATCACCTTTGGCGGATCATACTTCCGGTGAGCTCAACTTGTTTCCGTCAGTTTCAACATTTCAGACCATCCATTCTTGCGTAAAGCTAGAATTTTACGGGTTCAGCTAGCCCATAGGTAACGCCCATTCAATGAAATCCATATCGCATTGGAGTTTGCGTCAGTAAACTGGTTTTTGTTCTTGCACTCTACTACTTTTTGCCTTGACTCAGGTTAGGAAGCCTTCTTAAACTTATGCCACTTCTTGAACGAATTCAATAAGCGGCATAAGTTATCTTTCGAAGTTAATAAGAGTAGGTCGTGGGCATGAGGATGCGGTCAGAGTTCGCGATGTCGCGCGACGACGCACTACCAGCGTAATCGCGCTCCCATGCTATGGACAAGAAGGCACCCACAAACGGGTATTGAACAGCTCCAGCCGCTTCTGTTCTAAGAAAATACAGAAGAACACCAGGGCACCAACTGTGTGATTAGCCTTTATAAAACATAACTGGTAACGCAGCAACCAGTCTGCGCGGTGTCAGGAGGGGTGATTGAGCCCGCCCCTGGCTGCTTTGCTCTACCAATGGTGATCGTTTAGTATTTGATTGAGGAAGAAAACAAGCAAA